GAAAGAGAAAGAGGGAGAGAAGAAAGGAAGGGCAAAAGAGCAGAAGGGAAGGAAGGAAGGAGGGAGGGAAAAAGAGGTAGGAAGGGGAGGAAGGAAACAGAGGAAGGAAGGATGAAGAGATGGAAGGGAAGGAGAACGAGGGAGGAAAGGAGGAAGGAAAGTGAATGCTTTTGAAAGATGGCCATACATCCCAGAAAACTCACAGCAACCCAATGATTCCGGCCATGAAAACCTTCAACAATACATATAACCCTGTTGTTTGTAGTCTAGGAAAAGAGTTTGAATTTCGTATTAAACTCTCCTGATCCACCTCCTTACAGAAGAACATTCCAAGTGCCTCCCAAAACTACAGATCCCAAGGTGCCGTTATAAGGAGCCCTGGCAATTAAAGTGGGATAAAGCTGCTGCAACCTGGATGGACCCTTGGAAAGGTGCAGAAAAGACTTGGGGTGCATCTACACAGTAGAATTAATACAGTTTGACACCCCTTTCACTGCCACTGCTCAACGTTATGAAAACCTCAGAGTCATGCCTTCTCCGCTAACTATAAATCCCAGGATTCAATTGCATTGGGCCGTAGCAGTTCGAATGGTGCAAAATTGGGGCTGGGCTTAGCACAGCGGGTTAAACCGCCAAGCTGCAGAAAATCGAAAGCTTGGCAGTTCAAGCCCAGGTCAGGGTGAGCTCCTGCTGTCAGCCCCAGCTTCTGCTCACTGAGCAGTAATGTGAGTAAATAGGTACTGCTTTAAGCTGGGAGGTAATAAAAGGCACCCATAATGACTCGATCGGGAGAGCGTCTACAGACAACAAAGCTCCTCGGCATAGAAGATGGAGCAACAGCACCCCCTGTGGTTGGAGTCAAGCACAACATCCAAATGCTGGAGATGGAAAATGATGGGAAGCCTTTACCTTTCTTTATGTATTGTCTGTCTGTGTTAATTGTATAATGGCATTGAATGTTTGCCGTATATGTGTGAGGGTGAAATATAAATAAAGTATATTATTATTATTATTATTATTATTATTATTATTATTATTATTTATTCGACAGTGTAGATCAGGCCTGGGCAAACTTGGGCCCTCCAGGTGTTTTGGACTCCAACTCCCACAATTCCTAACAGCCTACCGGCTGTTAGGAATTGTGGGAGTTGGAGTCCAAAACACCTGGAGGGGCCAAGTTTGCCCAGGCCTGGTGTAGATGCACCCAAAGCATGGAAAAGTACTTCCCTTGCCCTCTTCGAACCGCAAAAAGGCACATTAACGGCATAGTTGTCCATAAATAAAGTGATTCGGCGAGCTCCGAAATGATCAAAAAGCAATCTCGCATTCATAATTTTCAACATAGTTCAAGAATCTCATGGTTGAAGTCCATCTCACGAGTCCTTATGTTCACTTTCAGCTTCGCCTATAATAACTCCAATGTTTGGCCTATGTTTTGTTTATTTTTCAAAAGCTGGAGTCCAAGCAGATTAAGATTAGTAGCCACAGTGCAAATAACGTTAGAATGCCATGTTGGAGCCTATCTTTGTTTGTGATGCAGCAGGTTAAACCGCTGAGCTGCGGAAATTGCTGATTGGCGGTTCGAATCCACATAGTGGGGTGAGCTCCCGTCGCTAGCCCCAGCTTCTGCCAACCTAGCAGTTTGAAAACATGGAAATGTGAATAGATCAGTAGGGACGGTAACGATGCTCCATGCAGTCATGCTGGCCACGTGACCTTGGAGGTGTCTGTGGACAACACCGGCTCTTCGGCTTGGAAATGGAGATGAGTACCACCCACCAGACTAGATTTAATGTCAAAGGGAAAGCTTTACATTATTTCCCCAAAATTGGAGTAGTGTTTCCATTCCATTCACTTGGTTTCTAAGTTCAGCATTTCTGATGGTGATAACTTACAGTAATCGTAGCAAATCCAGCAGGTCTGTGGTCATCGGGAGTCCAAAACTGGGCCCTAAATTCCTAACTAGGGAGCCGCGGTGGTGCAGTGGGTTAAATCCTTATGCCGGCTGAACTGCTGACCTGAAGATCGGCAGTTCATATCCAAGATGGGGTGAGCTCCCATCTGTCAGCCCCAGCTTCCCATGCAGGGACGTAAGAGAAGCCTCCCACAGGATGGTAACACATCTGGGCATCCCATGCGGGGACATGAGAGAAGCCTCCCACAGGATGGTAACACATCTGGGCATCTCAAGCAGGGACATGAGAGAAGCCTCCCACAGGATGGTAACACATCTGGACATCCCAAGCAGGGACATGAGAGAAGCCTCCCACAGGATGATAACACATTTGGGCATGCAGGGACATGAGAGAAGCCTCCCACAGGATGGTGACACATCTGGGCATCCCAAGCAGGGACATGAGAGAAGCCTCCCACAGGATGGTAACACATTTGGGCATGCAGGGACATGAGAGAAGCCTCCCACAGGATGGTAACACATTTGGGCATCGCATGCAGGGACATGAGAGAAGCCTCCCACAGGATGGTAACACAACTGGGCATCCCATGCAGGGACGTGAGAGAAGCCTCCCACAGGATGGTAACACATCTGCAGATGGCCAGTTCTCTCACTCCAGAAGTGACTTGCAGTTTCCCAAGTCACTTCTGACACGATTAAAAATAAGTCTTCAGACTCTGCTTGCCTGATATATTATGCTTTCTAAGAAACCCTCAATCTGGGCACCGTTTTCCAAAACAGAGGCTGATCTGCGAAGTCGAAGGACGTTATTGCTTTCCAAAGGAAGACATTTTGTTGGCTTGGATTGATTTATGAGCTCTGAAGTATTAAAAAAAAGTAGCAACAACAGGGAGCAAGTTGTTGAGAAAAGTCAAATCCGGAAAAATTCGGTAACAAAGGAAAGTTTTGGATTCACCCAACCTCTCTTTAGCTTCCAAGGTTGAGACAAGTCTGCTAATTTTTGCAAAATCAGGACTTCCAACTCTGTGCTTAGTTTCGAGACCTCACAACCTCTGAGGATGCCTGCCATAGATGCAGGTGAAATGTCAGGAAGGAATGCTTCATGAACATGGCCAGACAGTCCGGAAAACTCACGACAACCCCAGTGATTCCGGCCACGAAAACCTTTGACAATAACTTTCAAGAGGTCATGCCACTGTTGCCCCAGTAGTTCGTGTGCCACAAATGTGCTTTCCTAAATATATCTCTGAATTCCTATAAAGTACTGGGGTGCTTTGAAAGCATTTTGCAAAATAATTAAAGTGCCTATTTGGGAACAGGAAAGATAAATTTGGAGCTCCGTCTTTGCGGAGAAAAAGTGTTTTTGTTGAGTTCTGGACCAAGCTTGGCCTTTCTAGCTTTGTTCGGAGGCATCCATTTGTACTGCAAATGAATTTTCACCAGAGCTAATGAAAGTGGCGGTGCAGCAGTTTAAATTGCTGAGCTGCTGAACTTGCCAGCTGAAAGGTCGGCGGTTCAAAACCGGAGAGCGAAGTGAGCTCCCACTATTAGCCCCAGCTTCTAGTAGTTCGAAAACATGTAAATGTGAGTAGACCAATAGGTACCGCTCCAGTGGGTGATGCAGTCAGTTCAAATCTGGGGAGTGGAGTGAGCTTCCACTGTTAGGCCCAGCTTCTGCCAACCTAGCAGTTCAAAAACATGCAAATGTGAGTAGACCAATCGGTACTGCTCTGGCGGGAAGGTAACGACACTCCATGCAGTCATGCCAGTGGTGCAGTGGGTTAAACTGCTGAGCTGCTGCACTTGCTGACCGAAAGGTTGGAGGTTCAAAATTGGGGGGTGGAGTGAGCTCCTGCTGTTAGCCCCAGCTTCTGCCAACCTAGCAGTTCAAAAACATACAAATGTGAGTAGATCAATAGGTACCGCTCCAGTGGGAAGGTAATGGTGCTCCATGCAGTCATGCCAAGTGACACTGCTGAGCTGCTGAACTTGTTGACCAAAAGGTCAGCAGTTTGGACTGCTGAGCTGCGGAATTTGTTGACCAAAAGGTCAGCAGTTCGAATCCGATGAGTGGAGTGAGCTCCCACTGTTAGGCCCAGCTTCTGCCAACCTAGCAGTTTGAAAACATGCAAATGTGAGTAAATCAAAAGGTACCGCTCCGACAGGAAGATAACGACATTCCATGCAGTCATGCCGGTGACGCAGTGGGTTAAACCACTGAGCTGCTGAACTTGCTGGCCGAAAGGTCGGCGGTTCAAATCCGGAGAACTGAGTGAGCTCCTGTTGTTAGCCCCAGCTCCTGCCAACCTAGCAGTTCAAAAACATGCAAATGCGAGTAGATCAATAAGTTATGCCAGGTGACACAGTAGGTTGAACCATTGAGCTGCTGAACTTGCTGACCAAAAGGTTGGCAGTTCAAATTTGGGGAGTGGAGTGAGCTTCCACTGTTAGGCCCAGCTATCTTCGTTTGCCTTCATTGTGAGGCCATGGTGGTGCAGCAAATTAAACCACTGAGCTGCAGAAATTGCTGATTGGCGGTTCGAATCTGCGGAGTGGGGTGAGCTCCCATCGTTAGCCCCAGCTTCTGCCAACCTAGCAGTTCAAAAACATGCAAATGCAAGTAGATCAATAGGTACCACTCCAGCAGGAAGGTAACGACACTCGATGCAGTCATGCTGGTTATGCAGCGGGTTAAACCACTGAGCTGCTGAACTTGCCGGCCGAAAGGTCGGTGGTTCGAATCCGGAGAACAGAGTGAGCTCCCGCTGTTAGCCCCAGCTCCTGCCAACCTAGCAGTTCAAAAACATGCAAATGCGAGTAGATCAATAAGTACCGCTCCGGCGGGAAGGTAACGGCGCTCTGTGCAGTCATGCCAGGTGACACAATAGGTTGAACCACTGAGCTGCTGAACTTGCTGACCAAAAGGTTGGCAGTTCGAATCTGGGGAGTGAGCTTTCACTGTTAGGCCCAGCTTCTGCCAACCTAGCAGTTCAAAAACATGCAAATGTGAGTAGACCAATAGGTACTGCTCCGGCAGGAAGGTAATGACACTCCATGCAGTCATGCCGGTGATGCAGCGGGCAAAACTGCTGTGCTGCTGAACTTGCTGACAGAAAGGTTGGCGGTTCAAAATAAAAAAAGAGCAGAGTGAGCTCCCGCTGTTAGCCCCAGCTTCTGCCAACCTAGTACTTTGAAAACATGCAATAGATCAATAGGTACCACTCTGGCGGGAAGGTAATGGCGTTCCATGCAGTCATGCTAGCCACATGACGTTGGAGGTGTCTACGGACAACACTGGCTCTTCGACTTAGAGATGAGCACCAAGCCCCAGAGTCGGACATGATGAGACTTAAGATTAAGGGGAAGTTTTGGATTCACCCAGCCTCTCTTTAGCATCCAAGTTTGAGACAAGTTTGCAAAATCAGGACTTCCAACTCAGCACTTAGGGGAAAACTTTTCCCTTTACCCTTAAAGACAAGCAGGTTTTAATCTGGTAATTCACAGGGTTTGGCCTCCACTTTAGTGGTCTTTTCTTTCCAACTGATCATCAGTAATGTTTCAGGCTTAGGATCAAGACTCGTGGTAAGAGCGCCAAGGCAAAGAACTCCCAAAACTCAGTTCGGACAACACAATTCCCTTTTCCCTTGCTGGTGTGGATTCAGCTGCCTTTCAGAATCAGATGAGCTGGTGCTTTCCAGATTTGTGTGTATTTTATAAAAACATACATGCATAATATTATAAAAGAAATACTTCCAGCAGTTGGATGACTTTTCGTTCTGGAGTAACCGAGCGCTGCTTTGTTGGGAGGGAAAGGAACGACTGCATTCCTATAAAGATTTCTCAGTCTGGTTGTGTTTTCTGGAGGGATTCTTCGGGAAGGACGGAACACAACAAAGGAGAGGCGTGAAGGAAATCTGGGAACTAGCAAAAGACTTTGAAGATGTGCCAAGTCCTTCAAGGAATCAAACGTTGCTGATGCGGACACTCAACGCCGTGCCTTCGCCTTTCTCTCGAAAGGATTCTTCAAGTTTCAACTTCTCGGGGTCGCCGAACCGGACGGTTTCGTGGAGACAACACGGCGGGGAGACTTTGACCACTTGTTCAAAGAGGCTAAAATCAGCGACATACTTCCCACTGGCCGAGAGAGAGATGACGGGGGTGAACTCGTAGCCCCAGAGGATCTCCTCGGGGAGGTAGGAGGTCCGCACTTGGCAGGTGGCGCTGGTGGATTCCACGGTGCCGCTGAGGATCACCACCAACTCGAAGTCGCCTTCTCCGGTGCGCAGGGCCAGGTCCCGGAAAGGGCTGTGTTCGTTCACAACATGGTAGAAGGTCAATGGTAGGATCAGAAAAGGACTATCAGATGAAGTGTCCACCTGGAAGTCCACGTTGACCTGGTTGAGCCGGACGTTCTCACCTTCCTTGGTGAGGTAGGTCTGGAGGAGCTTGCCGGTCACCTGGCACCCGATGAGGAGGCTCTTGCGCATGTTGGCCACCCGGATCATCAAGCAGGTCTTGCCGTTGTGTTGGGCCACCACCGCGCTCTGGCTGAACTTGATGGTCTCCGCTCGCTTTTTAGGCCGGGCGATCTTGGCCAAGAAGGTGCCGGTGATGAAGATCTCCATGATGGTGGTGAGGACCAGCTGGCTGATGAGCAGGACAATGGCCAAGGGGCACTCCTCACTGATGTAGCGGAAGCCGTAGCCAATGGTGGTCTGGGACTCCAGGGAGAAGAGGAAGGCCCCCGTCAAGGTGTGGACCTGCATGACGCAAGGCGTGTGGTTGGCTGGAGGGTCAAACTCTAGAAGGTCTCCATGGAGGACGGCCACCAGGTACCAGATGACGCCAAAGATGAACCAAGTCCCGGCGAAAGAGGCCGAAAACAGGAGGAGCTTGTAGCGCCATTGCATGTCGATGAAGGTGGTCCACAGGTCCTTCAGGTAGAGGAACCGCTTGTCGGCGATGTGCTCCATCCGGACATTGCTCCGTCCATCCTTGGTCATGACCCGCCTCTTCCGCAGAGCAGAGCCAATGAGGGGCCGGCTGTCGGTCTGAGTTGTCTGGCTGTAGTATACCTTGGTTGAAGATGTCATCTGGTGGGAAAAGAAAGGAAACAGCCAAGGGTTAGATCGGTGTTTCCCAATCTTCCTAATGCCGCAACCCCTTAATACAGTTCCTCATGTTGTGGTGACCCCCAACCATAACATTATTTTCATTGCTACTTCATAACTGTAACGGTGCTACTGTTTATGAATCGTCGTGTAAATATCTGATATGTAGGATGTATTCATTGGACCTAATTTGGCACAAATACCCAATTTGCCCAAATTTGAATACTGTTGGCGTTGGGATTGATTTTGTCATTTGGGAGATGTAATTGCTGGGATTTATAGTTCAACTACAATCAAAGAGCATTCTGAACTTCACCAATGATGGAATTGAATCAAACTTGGCACACAGAACTGCCACGACCAACAGAAAATTTTAGAAGGTTTTTTATGGGCATTGACCTTGAGTTTTGGAGTTGTAGTTCACCTACAAACAATGATCGATCTGGACCAAATTTGGAGCAAATATTCAATCTGCCCAAATGTGAATACTGGTGGAGTTTGGGGAACATAAACCTTGACATTTGGGAGTTGTAGTTGCTGGGATTTATAGTTCACCTATAATCAAAGAGTATTCTGAACTCCACCAACGATGGAATTGAACTACACTTGGCACACAGAACTCCCATAGCCAAAGAAAGCGCTAGTCTAGAAGGGTTTGGTGGGCATCACAAAAAGCACACATCAGTGCAGTAACACACAAAATACAGCAAGAAGCATAGCATAACGGCGTTCCATGCTGTCATGCTGGCCACATGACCTTAGAGGTGTCTACAGACAATGCCAGCTCTTCAGCTTAGAAATGGAGATGAGCTCCAACCCCCAGAGTCGGACACGGGACAGGGGAAAACCTTCACCTTCACCTACATCTATATAAATAAAAATGTAATGTTTGTTTGTGGGATTAACATAACCCAAAAACCACTGGACAAATTGATATAAAATTTGGACACTACACCCCTAACAAACCAACGAGTGACCATCACTCATAACCCCGCCCTCTAAAAGAGTGGAAAGCTAAATGATGATGGAGAAAAAAGGGGAGGGAAGGAAGGAAAGCAAGAAAGAAAGAAAGAAAGAAAGGAGAGAAAGAGGGAGGGAAAGAAAGAAGGAAAGAGAGAAGGAAGGAAGGAAGGAAGGAGTAAAGGAAGGAGGGAAAGAAGGAGAGAAAGAGGGAAGGAAGATTGGCCAAAGCAACGCATGGCGGGTACAGCTAGTAGCATATAAAACAATAACAAAGCAGAGAACTTGATGAACCAACCTGGACACAGCACATTACTGTAGAACACAGTAATGCTGGACCAGACAGGAAACCATCAGGCTGGCTAACACCTCCCAACAAAGGATTCCCCAGGCAGGAAGCAGCCAGGCTTTGAAGCTGCAAGGCCATTTATTGCTAATCAAGCTGGCCAATTGCAACATTCACACTTACCTCAAGCAGACAATAGTTCTTTCTCCCACCCTGGACATTATTCCATAGATATAGTTTCCAGCAGACCTCACAATCTCTGAGGATGCCTGCTACAGATGTGGGCGAAACATCAGGAGAGAATACTGGTTTTGACCTATAAAGCTCTATACGGTTCGGGCACAGCTTACTTGTCTGAATGCATCTGCCCCTACGTCCCTGCTTGCAATTTAAGGTCATTCGGGGAGGCCCTGCTTTCACTCCCTTCAACAGCTCAGATGCGGCTGGTGGGGATGAAGAGGCTTCTTGGCTGTGGCCCCCCGCCTATGGAACACACTCCCAAAGGAGGTAAGATCTGTTCCCTCGCTCCTGACCTTTTAGAAAAAAATTAAAATCATGGTTCTGGGACCAGGCCTTCGGACAATAGATGTATGCAGCTTTTAGTGGGACAAGGACTGGAACAATGACTCGACTGATGAGATTGTTTTATGGTTTTAGTAACTGTTTTGATATTTTGTGATGTACTGTTTTTAATATGATTTATGTTTGAAGTGTGGTTTTACTATTGTAGTTGTAAGGCATTGAATTTTTGCCATTATCTATGTGTATACCGCTTTGAGTCCCCCTCGGAGTGAGAAAAGCGGGATATAAATACTGTAAATAAATAAATAAATAAATAAATAAATAAATAAACAAACAATGCTTCTGGAACAAGGCCAGACAGCCCGGAAAACTCATAGCAACCCAGTGATTCTGGCCATGAAAACCTTCATTAACTATCAGTACTCTCTTCCCTTGCATAGTCTAACGGCTAGAAAATTATCCAACAGTTTTGCCAGAAAATGTCCATCTCCACTGATTCCGCATCATTGAGCCATGGCAATTCAAGAAGCATCACAGCATTCATGCTACAGTCTATATGCACACAAAGCTACCTGGACGTGCAAAGCAAAGAAAGGCATCAATCGTGTCTATGCCAGCCACTGCAATTCAGAGAGAAGAATTAAAGTAAGAAAGAAGGCACCAGCATTGCATTTTTTGGTCAGTCTCCAGCAGAGGTCCCCATAAGCCTGGATAACATGAAACTCGCTTTCGCCTGGCATAATTTGCCAAGGCTTACAAAACACCAGCAAAGGTTTGGTATGCCTATCATTAGCCAGACTTAAGGGTGCAATATATTGAATCAATGCTTTTCTTTGGACAGGCTGTTTGAGACAATTGTCATTTCTCTGTGTGATGTTGCAAAAAGCAATTCATTTGGTTTCTTATAGAATCCTAGAGTTGGAAGAGACCTCGTGGGCCACCCAGTCCAACCCCATTCTGCCAAAAAGCAGGAAAATCACCTTCAAAGCACCCCCAACAGAAGGCCATCCACCCTTCTGTTCGATGTTTTGTCTTATGTCTGTTATAACAGGTGGTGCTTTTTATTTAATTTTAGTTGTTAAATCATACTCTATGCTTATATGTTGGATTGTTTGAATTTTGTTAGTATGGATGTATTGTTGTTGTATTCAGGCATTGGATGTTTGCCTTTTATGTTTGGAATCTGCCCTGAGTCCCTTTGGGGAGACAGAACAGAATATAAATAAAGTATTATTATTATTATTATTATTATTATTATTATTATTATTTTACTGATACAAAAACACAGTATGTGACAGCAAACAAGATATATATGCTGGATTTCGTATCACAAAATCATAAGTCGAACACTTTCCAAGCGTCTGTTAATATATTATTATTATTATTATTATTATTATTATTATTATTATTATTATTATTTAAAGCTTCTGCCACCCTCCAGGACAGAGAGTTCCACTGCTGAACAGCTCTCAAAGTTCTTAAATGGGACCTGTTCGATGTCCCTTGTCAAAAACAGTCAGGGTGTTGGGCTTTGGTTCTTCTGATCTGCAGTGGCATTCATCCCCCTTGGCATGACAGTTCCTTCCAGGAAGGAGATGCTCTTTAGTTTTTGATGGACTCTGACTTGAATATCAAGCAAAAAGTGGGCGCTAGAAATAATATCGCATGAAAGCGGACTGGCACAACTTGGGGATCACTACCTCCCTCTTCCCTTTCTTGCTTCTTCCCTTCAGTCCTCCCTCCCTCCCTTCTTCCCTCCCTTCTTCCCTTTTCCCTTCCTTCCTTTCTTCCTCTCTTCCTTTCTTTCCTTCTTCCTTTCCTTCCTTCTTCCTTCCTTTCTTCCTTCCTTCCTTCCTCTCCTTCCTTCCTTCCTTCCCTCCTTCCTTCCCTTTCCTTCTTCCTTTCCTTCCTCCCTTTCCTCTTCCTCCTCCCTCCTTCTTTCCCTTCCTTCCTACCTCTCCTTCCCTCCTCCTCCCTTCTTTCCTCCCCTCCTCCTCTTCCTTCCTTCCTTCCTCCTTCCTTTCCTTCCTCCCTCCCTTCTCCTCCCTCCCTTCCTTATTCCCTCCCTTCCTTCTTTCTTTCTTTCCTCCCTTCCTTCTTTCTTCCATTTGTTCCTTCCTTCCCCTCTTCCTTCCTTCTTTTCCTTCCTCCCTTCTTTCCCTCCTTCCATCCTCCATCCCTTCTTTCTTCCCTTCCTTCCTTTGTTCCTTCCGCCTTCTTTCCTTCCTCTATTCTTTCCTTCCTTCCTCCTTCTTTTCCTTCCTTTCCATGCTTCTTGCCTCCCTCCCTTCCTCCCTTCTTGCCATCTTCCCCCCTCCCTCCCTTATTCCCTCCCTTATTCCCTCCCTTCCTTCCTTCTTTCTTTCCTTCCTCCCTTCCTCTCTCCCCTTATTTGATTTATATGATTTGTATTTCATTGATAGTTTGATTAATGTTGTGTTATTGACGTTGTTTGGTGTTTTGGGTTAGCCTCATGTAAGCTGCACCGAGTCCCTTGGGGAGATGGTAGTGGTGTACAAATAAAGTATTATTATTATTATTATTATTATTATTATTATTATTATTATTCTTTTCTTCCTTCCTCTTCCTTTCCTCCTTTCCTCTTCTTTCCTTCCTTCCTTCCTTCCTTCCTCCTTCCTTCCTTCCTTCCTCTTCCTTCCTTCCTTCCTTCCTTCCTTCCTTCCTTCCTTCCTTCCTTCCTTCTTCTCTTCCTCCCTCCCTCCCTCCCTCCCTCCCTTCCTGTTTCTAATATGATTTTCAGAGGGAAGAGGGGGAAGGGGAGGGAAAAAATCACTCTTGTCTGCTTGCCAACAGAGCCTGTCTCTTCCACCTCATTTGCACCCAGAGCCCTGTGCTGCGGACTCTCTTGATGGGCATCTTGTCCACGCCCATCCCTTTGCTCCTTCTGTACATGACGCTCAATCAATCAATGGGGAAATAATAGGAGGAGGAGGCAGGGATAAAATGCTTCTGTGTGTGTTTGTGTGTGTGTTTCCGACTGAGTCACTGCTGCCCATTCTTTGCCCCTTCCAACCTTGTTCCCTGCAAAGAGAAAACAAGCCCCATCGCCAGCCTCACCCCACAAGAAAGGCCCTTTTCATCCCATCCGGGGCAATGTTTGGAAACACTGCATCGAAGCACAGCATTGGGACAAGGCACCGGACTGCTTCCGCGTGGCATTTTGTTGTGGGCCAAAAAACAGAGAGACAAGGAG